CAAATCAAGTGACTTCAGCCTCTCCTCGTACTTATCTGTGCTGGGAACTCCAGCTGCTGAGCCTGCCCTGTCTCCCCCTTTCCCAGGTGTCCCAAGGATGAAGTGGAGCTGGCTCCCTGCACACCGCACAGCGACCTTCAGTGTGGTCCTCCCACCAACACCTCTTCCAGCTCCTCTAGTAAGTGGGGAGCTGCTGGAGGAGGGGAGATGGGCTGAGGGGTGGAGGTGTGAGCTGCTGTGGAGGAGACCAGGAGCAGCTCCTCACACACCCTGTTTTATCCACTTTAGATCACTTGATCGTGATCATCTCAGTGGTGGTATTTGTGGTCCTGCTTGTGCTCGCCTGCCTCTGGAAGTACCGCTGCTGCCGTTCCCCAGGTGAGCACCGGGTGTGGGGGTCCCCTGGGGTGCTCACCCCGGCTGGGGAATCTGCATGGGTGTGGGCTGGGTGGGATGAAGGACCTGCCTGGGGGAAGAGAGGGATCACAGGATGGTTTTCCCTCTTCCAGGAGAAGGGAGAGACCTGAGCGGGAAGTCCTGCAGCGTGGTGGTGAGTTGCTGGGATGGCAATGGGGGTGGCAGCTCTGTTTGTGGGGCTGGGGTGAAGTCTCCTCTCTGCTCCCTGCTTTACCTCCAGCTCCTGGGAAAGCTGGAGGAGCAGGGAGATGAGTCTCATCCCTGCAGGGATGTGGTAGAGCTGGGCCAAGCAGAGGAGGGTCTCTGGTAGTGCCCTGCTGTGGGTGGGGTGCTTGCAACCCCCTCCCCAGTGCCATTATCACTTCCCTGGCTGAGGTGCTGGCACATTTAGGGACCCCACTGGGGACCCCAGGTTAAAGGGGGGGCTGTGCTGTACCAAGACCCCTGCAAACTCAAGGTGAGGGAGTAAGCTGTGCCCTTGAAACCACAGCAGGGCAGCTGTAGATGACATCCCTGAGGGACCAGTGTGAGCCCTGCCCTCCCGGGGCCACCCGGTTTGTGCTTCTCTCCTGCTGTAGGGCTACCTGCTGCAGCAGGTGACAAGGCACAAGAGGGAGGGTCTGGGGACACAGGACAACATCCGCAACGAGCAGTTCTCCCGGGATCAGCTGCTCCAAAGGGCGTCGGGTTCGGTGACTCCCAGAGCTCCAGGGCTGGAGGTACATGAACATGCCTCTCTGCTCTGTCGTGCTCAGCTGAGGTCTGGTGCTTTCCTCTGCTTTCACCAAGCTGATCACCTGCAGGAGGCTTCCAAGCCTGGACCACGGTTTCTGCATGGAGACAGCAAAGGGTCTCTTGTCCTTGTTCTGGGTTCAGGACTTCAAAATCTACTCATTGCAGTTGGCTGCCAGAGTCTTCTGCAGATGTAATGCTGATGCTGAGCAATCAGACAGCTCTTCTCTCCTTGGCTGGGACCCATGAGGCAGCTCTCCCCTGCTCATGGTGTGCTGTCATCCCAAAGCTAGGAAAATTAGGAAGAAACTCTTCACTGTGAGGGTGGTCAGACACTGGAACAGGTTGCCCAAGGAAGCTGTGGCTGCTCCTTCCTGGAAGTGTTGAAGGCCAGGTTGGATGAGGCTTTGAGCAACCTGGTCTAGTGGAAGGTGTCCCTGCTGCTGGCAGGGGGTTGGGACTGGATGAGCTTTAAGGTCCCTTCCAACCCAAACCCATCTGTGATTCTATAAAACAATGGGTGTCTTGGGTGGGGGTGGTGGTGATCTCCTGCCCCAGCAGCCCCTGGAGAGAGGGAGAGGGTTTCCAGCTCCCTCATTAATGGGACTTGGGGACAGTGTTTGTGCTGGGGCTTGGTGGGTGCTATAGGATGTTGTCTTCCCAGGAGACAGTAACAGGGACCTCACAGAACAGTGTGAAACCCAGGAAGAATCTGGTTCCAGTGGAAGGAAAAGACCCTGTTGTCCGTAAGTGTTGGGGCCCAAGGGATGAGCTTCCTGGGCAAAATCCTTTCTGACCCAGCTCTCTGGGTTCTACCCTGTTCTCTGAGCTTTTCCCTTCCCCCTTCTAGTTTTGCGA